AAAAAAAAAAAAAATTTCTTATTTTGAAATCCTAACCCCCAATGTGATAGTATTAAATAGGGGCCTTGGGAGGTGATTCTGTCATGAGGAGAGAGCTGTTAAGAACAGAATTAATGCCACTACAAAAGAGACCCGAGAGAGCTAGCTAGCCCCCTTCCACCATGTGAACACACAGCCAAAAGACATCCATCTATGAACCAGGCAAAGGCCTTCATCAGACCAGAATCTGCTGGTGCCTTGATCTTGGACTCTTCAGCCTTCACAATTGCGAAGTTTTGTTATAGCAGCCCGAATAGACTAATACACTATCCTTCTTGTGGTTTACACATGAGCAGTACCTTTCCCAGATTCCGAGACACCTGAGAAATTCAACCTGTTCAAAATAATTCATTCTTTAAACTTTTTAAAGATTTTATTTGAGAGAATGCACGCATACACGCACAAGCAGGGGAGGGCCAGAGGGAGACAGAGAGAAGCAGACTCCCCACTGAGCAGGGAGCCCAATTCAGGACTCGACCCTGGGATCATGACCTGAGCTGAAGGCAGATGCTTAACCAGCTTTAACCAAAGTTAGCCTTCCTTTTACCCTTTTCCCAAAGAATAATGAGCAACACACCTCTTTTACTCTTTTATCATTAAACCCCTGCTCCCTCCACCCAGGTGCCCCAAAATAATTCATTCTTTATCTCTTTCTTTTATTTCCTCTCCATCCAGGACAGCTGCTCAAGTTAAAAACCTGGGGATAATTTTCAACTCTCACTCCTATACCTAACCAAGTCCTAGAGATTCTACCTCCTAACTTTCAAATCATTCTCTCCTTTTCTGTCTTAATTCAGATCTTCATCATCTCCTGCCAACTCCTGAAATAATGAATCTTCTCACTATAAGGATCTCTCTCCAACCCAAACACTGGATTATCTTTCTAAAATGCAAATGGACCACATCATTCCGCTCGTTAAAATTCTCCACTGGGGCGCACGGGTGGGCTCAGTTGGGTTAAGTGCCCAACTCTCGATTTCGGCTCAGGTCAAGATCTCGGGATTGTGAGACTGAGCCCCACATAGGGCTCTGCACTGAGCATGGGGCCTGCTTAAGATTCTCTCTCCCTCTCTCTCTACCCCTTCCCCCATCACTCTCTTTCTCTCTCCTCTTGCCCCTCCCCAGCTCGTGCTCTCTCACTCTCTTAAAAAAAAAAAATTGGGGTGCCTGGGTGGCTCAGTCCTTAAGCATCTGCCTTCAGCTCAGGTCATGATCCCAGAGTCCTGGGATTGAGTCCCGCAGAGGGCTCCCTGCTCAGTGGGAAGCCTGCTTCTCCCTCCCCCACTCCCCCTGCTTGTGTTCCCTCTCTCACTATATCTCTTTCTGTCAAACATATAAATAAAATCTTTAAAAATAAAAATCTCCACCGCGAATGTCAAATTCTTTAATCATACAGCATACAGGGCTCTTTCCAGCTTCAGTTCTCAACATTTCTCACTCTCCACCCATTCAATCTAGTCACAGTGAAATGCTTAAGCATATTTAAATGGACTACACTCTTTCATACCCCTATGCCTTTACTTTTTCCTAAGATGCTTTCCCTACCCCCACTTTCCACCCCTCTTTATCAACAGCATTATAGAAAGGGCTTCTGACTTGAGCATGACTTTGGAATATCTCATTTACAGTATTCATTAGAACTCCATGATTTTATACCTAATTACTACCCAATACGTTAATTATTCATTGAACCCCTATTCCCCAGTGACTGTGAGGTGGGGGGTTGATCTCATTTAGCACCGTGTCAGGCTCAAAATACACACTTAATAAATATTTTCTGAATGAATCAATGAATGAATGAAGATTCCCACAAATTAGAAGGAACCCCCTGGAGAATGGAGTCATTGTTTCATTACTATTCCCCCCCCCACACGCAGAACTACCTCTGACATATAATGGGCACTAAATAATAACTATTTTTTGAATTAAATGTGTTTCCTAATTATAGTAACGCCTGCAAACTTCCCTTTAATCTCAAATCGCATTAGCCTTCTGTCTTCAAGGTGCATGCAGTAATACTGATGGTTATAGATAGGAGGGGTGGGGAGTTTCTCAAGTCTGTCCAGTGGACGGCTCCAGGGTGCTGGAAGTGACAGAATTACGGAGGGGTGCCAAAACCAGCTGTGCAGTTAACCCTGCCATAAATCATGGTAGCGACAACGCTAAAAGTAAGAAAATCTGTGACCTGCAGAATCAGATACGGGAATGGACCAAAAAAAGATCAAACAGAAGATGCGAAAGATAAAAGGATGAAAGACTGAAGAGAGCGTCATGACAAGGTTCTAGGCTTAGGATACGTGGACGTGGACCAGTTTGTCTACTCTTCGGAAGGCGTTCGGTGGCCATTGGACAAGGGTTGAAGGAAAGAACTGAGAGGAAACAGTATCATCGCAAAATGACCTCAAGGGCTTTGGCAGCACTCACCACCTCCCCCTGCTCGGCGGACTTGTACACTCCAGACACCATCTCGTTATGGAGAAGCAAAAACAACGCCTCGTCCGCCATTTCCTGCTTAAGTCTTCCAAACGCCGGGTTTCGGCTCCCGTTTGGGCCGGGCTCAAAGATTCCGGCTAGCGCCTGAGCGATTTGGACGGCGGCACGGCGACTCCTTCAGTCCACAGCCAGTTCCTGCTTGCTAGGAGACCGAGGAATTCACTCCGCTTCCCCAAAGCTGGTACAAGTGTGAGCCCGGTACCGGGGCAGCCCAACCCAGGGCCACCAAGCCCTCAGGCCTAACAGTCTGACAGCAGCCGGAAACAGAGCCAGCGGAGACCCTATCCGGCCCCTGGGCGGGGGGCGAAAAAAACAACTTCCGGTCCCCTCTATCCCGGCATTCGCCAGCTCTATGATCACAGAATTACGTCCCTGGGACGAACGGCTAGTGCCCAAATAGGGGGAAGCTTCCTCTCACAAACGACTTCAGACGCAGGGCGGGGAGCGAGGGCGGGGCTGTGAGGGGGGTACAAAGGAGCGCCTGCTGAAATGTGTTAACCAGCTATGTGTTAGAACTGACAAGAATTAGCTTCATCAAAAGTTTTCATTTCTGCCATATGTTCCTCAATATGAAGAGTAAAGAGAGTGAATGAATAAATCATTTTTTCAGGCTATAAAGTTTAGATATTGAGAAATTATCCCAATCCACTGTGGATTAAACCTGGTATGCAAAAAGATTGTCATTTTGGCCACCAGAAGTTTACTGGGAGTCAGGTATAAGAGTTAAGGGGGATGAAATAAGCAAACAAGGTACACTTTTTTTAAAAAAATATATTTATTTGACAGAGAGAGACACAGCGAGAGAGGAAACACAAGCAGGGGGAGTGGGAGAGGGAGAAGCAGGCTTCCCGCGGAGCAGGGAGCCCGATGCGGGGCTCGATCCCAGCACTCTGAAATCATGACCCGAGCCGAAGGCAGACGCCTAACCGACTGAGCCACCCAGGCACCCCAAACAAGGTACACTTTAAACAAAATACAGAACCTGACGATTAGGTTCATGGAAAAGTGCAAAGACCAGAAAAGCAACCTCACTGTGGGAAGTAGCTCTTAAGAATCTATGGCAGGGACACCTGGATGGCTCAGTCGGTTGTGTCTCCCTTCTGCTCAGGTCATGATCCCAGGGTTCTGGGATCAGATGAGTCCCACATAGGGCTCCTTGCTCAGCAGGGAGCCTGCTTCTCCTTCTGCCTGCAGCTCCCCCTGCTTGTGCTCTCTCTGACAAATGAATAAAATCTTTAAAAAAAAGGAACCTATTATCTATGGAAGATGTGGGATTTAATTCCTGTAGAAATGCAAACACATATATATGCACCTTTTAAATTTGGCATGTTCTGGCTTAAACTTGCTGCTTAGCCTGTAATTGATTCTTTTCTTAGTAGTTCACGAGGAAGATTCTTTCCCAATTAATTAATTTAATTTAATGCTTCCCCCAAATTTACATATTGAATTTTCTCTAGTTGTTAACAATAACCACTCAACTCTTCATATTCTTTCATAGGAATTTAAGATCATGTTCCAGAGTTGCCTGGGTGGCTCAGTTAAGTGTCTGCCTTTGGCTCAGGTCAGGATCCCTGCTCAGCAGGGAGTCGGTTTCTCCCTCTCCCTCTGCTCCTGCTCATTCTCTCAAATAAATAAATAAAATCTTTAAAAAAAAATTAAGATGATGTTCCATAATTGGAATTATGGCAGCTTTTATCTTTTCTTTTTTTTTAAATATGTCCCTTCTAATGTTTGCATGTTTTTTTGATCACATAAACATTCCACCTAAGCCTTTGAAAACACTGTTAAAAAGAAAACCACAGGCCCAAAATGGGAGTCATTTTTGCTAGGCCATGTCATCAAATTAGAGCTTAATACTCAACCTAATTGCAGTTTCCTCCACCAGAAACGTAGTCTCAACTGGTAAGTAACGAACTTTTCTGGTCAATACCAATAAGGTAATCTGTCAGAGAGGCTTTCTCCAACCCCCAAAGGTAGATGAGGTAGTAATACACCTAATTAGACCCTCTTGTTCCCAAGGGAGGGTGACCTCACCTGAAATAATCCTTTTTTCTGTTTATGACTTCCTTGTCCTACCTGTAAAAATCTTTCCCTTTCTGTAGCCTTTTGGAACTCTCCTCTGCATGCTAGTTGGAATGCTGCCCAATTCATGAATCAATTAATAAAGCTAATTGTATCTTTAAAATTTACTGTTTAATTTTTGTTATTTAATACTAGTGCAATTTCAGAGATTATTTTGCAGCCATAATCTTAATTTTCCTAGCACCCAAATTTCCCATATGTGGAATCATATCCCTTATGTCCTGACTGCATACTCCCTTCATCATTACCATCAAGGAAAAGGAGTCCAAGCCCACCATTGAGGTCAAAGAGTAACCAACTGACCAACTTACTAAGGTTGATTTCTCAAATAGTAACATGGGGTTCTTAGAACATTTTGGAATCGATGGGAAACTAGTATTTATTACTAAATGTTGAACACAACAGCCCCCTAATTCTCCCCCATAAAGCTGACTGTTAAATTGCCCAGGATCCTAGTAATAGGTCCTATGGAAGCAGGAAAAGATCCTATGTTTTTGGTTGCCTCTTCCTGGGGCGCCTGGGTGGCTCAGTCATTAAGCATCCGCCTTTGGCTCAGGTCATGATCCCAGGGTCCTGGGATTGAGCCCTGCATCGGGCTCCCTGCTCAGCAGGAAGTCAGCTTCTCCCTCTCCACCTGCCCCTGCCCCTGCTTGTGTTCCCTCTCTCGTTGTGTCTCTGTCAAATAAACAAAATCTTAAAAAATAATAATAAAATAAAAGCATTTTACCATGGAAACATTGTTACATTTGGTGGTATCTAGTATTACCACATTCTCATGCTTATAATCAGAATTAATTTATCAACCCTTATCCCTTTTACCGTTTTTTTTCCAAAAGAACTCCATTTCTAACATGCCATGTAATTTACTTATATTTATCCTGTCTCCATACTTTTCCTGCCCCCAAGCTCCCTGAAGGACGAGATCTTTATTGCACTATCCAAGTAAAGTGCCTGGCACATGGTAAGCGCTCAGCAACTACTACTGAATGAATGAATGAATGAATGAATGAATGAATGAATGAGTACATGAATGATTTTTGCTCCCCGAGGAGCCTACAAACCCCACAAAAACAGGAACCACAGCGATCTTGTTCTAGGTTTTATCCTCAGAGCCTAGATTACTGCTTATGCACAAAGGAACTTTTAAAGATAGACGAATTAAGATGGTAACTCGAGTTAAACACTATTGTCCTACTAATGCTTGGTGCAAGGTTGATGCTGGGGTAAAAGATGATGAGAACCAAGATTATTCATAACATTGTTTCTGTGGGGAAATGCTTTGTGAGCAGTAACTTGCAAATGCATTTCTGGAACAAAACGGTTATGTTGGCTGTGTACATAGAACCACAAGCTAGAGGACACTCTGTCGTACGCACACAAGTAACATTAGAGCCTCTACTCCAGACCCCATCTTAAACTAACCAGCCGTATAGGCCAGGTGTAGACAATGCCAGCCTCAGGTCTCGTCGTCGCTTTTTTTAATCTAGTACACCCTTGGACAGGGTCTGATCAAATAGTGATTCTCAGTTGCCGTGACCTAGGGAGTTACAATTATCTCCAGATTCAAATTCCTTATCAGTAGTAACAAGCATTTTATTCAAGCTTTGAGCTGAAAGACAAGGTATATAAAACGTTTCATACCGTACCGAAAAAAAAAAAACTGTTATCTATTACGATTAATGACTTTTCATGTTCATTTTTTGCTTCCCTCTGCTCATTTTGGTTTAACCCAATGGAGAGACGCCTGCACCACCCCCTCCAACCCCTCTCTGGGCATGCGCACCGACAGAATGGCCGCACCCTTTCCTAATCTGATCATTTACCCGGGAAGAGGGGGAAAGACTCGCCTTCATCCCACTCTGATGTAATTAGGTGGTTAAAAAGATACAAGGCACGTCATATCCCAGGTTAAAAGGGCTGGAAAACTCCGCGCTCCGCGCCACAGAAGCAGGGCCAGCCTCTCCGAGGACCCTGAGACTCTCACACGCGCCCAGGGTCTGCGCTAGAAGCGGAGCCCGGCCACCGCAGCTAATTCAGGGAGGGAGCCAACCGCCCAGAAGACTTTTCATTGGCCCAGAGTCACAGAGGCCGGCAGCTTCTCCCTCTTCCGGACGCTGAGTGGTTGAGGCCGTAAAACAACGCTTATTGTCATTGGCTGGACCCTGCTGTCAGTCCTCTCGCGTCTCGCGGCGCGACAGAGCCAGGCGCGGCCTGTAGAGCAGTCTCGAAGCCTGCTGCAGAGAGAAGATGGCGGTCGCGGTAAGAACTTTGCAGGAGCAGCTAGAAAAGGCCAAAGAGAGCCTAAAGAACGTAGATGAGAATATTCGCAAGCTCACCGGACGGGATCCGAATGACGTGAGGTAAGAGGCGGATAAGAAAGGCCGGCTGAGAGACAGCCATCATGCCGGGGTGAATTGGGGGCGGGAAGGGTGGCTAGCCTTCAGAAGGCTAGAACATCTGGGCCTGTCCCCGGGGCGGCGGTAGAATCCCGTCCTGGATGAGGCAGGGAGTCTCCCACACCCTCGACGTCGGACTCGGAGCTCAGGTGCGCTAGGAAAGAGAGTGGGTTCTACCTATGCCGGGATGTCTCCCTGGTCTGTAGGAAGGCCCGGGCTGCCGATTCCCGCCCTCGGCCCTGCGGGCCCGGGACTGCAGCACAAAGCCCCTTCCCCATCCGGCGGCTACCTGGCCGGGTGCTGGCCCAGAGACCCTCCTGGGACGCTGTCCGCCGCCTCTCCCCCGCGCTTTTGCCCTCTTGCCCACGTGCAGTTTCCTCGGAGTTGACGAAATTAGGGCCTGACCCAAGTTTATTAATGTGTAGTGGCAACGAAGTAAATGTAATTTCTGTGATACTGGTCTTGAAAAAACAAGGAAGTTAAAATAGGACTTCCTGTCTTGTTTCAAGCACGTGGATTTGAAACCGTATTTTTAGAACTTTTCTGGTTATTTTTCTCTTTATGATGAACCGCATCCGTGAAAGTATTTGGTGACATTAAATAAGTGATTTTCATACTGATTTGTAAATATCTTTTAGGCCCATCCAAGCCAGATTGCTGGCCCTTTCTGGTCCTGGTGGAGGTAGAGGACGTGGTAGTTTATTGCTGAGGTAAGATTCTCTTAGGACTTAATTTATATGCTAAAACCATAGATACTTTTA